TGATTCTACCTGTCAGTGTCTACTGCCAGTTTCTACCTGTCACCGTCTATCTGTATGCCAGTGTTCTTCTGTACTGCCATGTTCTGTATACCTGTCATTCTGTCTACCTGCCGTTCTACTTCTGTATCCAGTATCTACCTGTATGCCGTCACCTGTCAGTATCTACTCTCATGTCTACCGTCATATCTTACCTGCCATTGTTACCGTCATATCGTACCTGTCATTCTTGTTAGCCCAGTATCTATTCCTGTATCCCGTGTTATCTGTAGCCGAGTCTACCTGTCAGTATCTCTGTCATGCCGTTCATTCTTCTGTATGCCCGTCATTCTTTCTTCTGTACCCGTCATTACTTCTGTATGCCCGTCATTCTTCTGTATGCCCGTCATTCTTTCTTCTGTATGCCCGTCATTTTCTGTATGCCGTCATTTTCTGTATGCCCGTCATTCTTCTGTATGCCCGTCTTCTTCTGTATGCCCGTCATTTCTTCTGTATGCCCGTCATTATTCTGTATGCCCGTCATTCTTCTGTATGCCCGTCATTATTCTGTATGCCCGTCATTCTTCTGTATGCCCGTCATTCTTCTGTATACCCGTCATTCTTCTGTATGCCCATCATTCTTCTGTATGCCCGTCATTCTTCTGTATGCCCGTCATTCTTCTGTATGCCCATCATTCTTCTGTATGCCCGTCATTCTTCTGTATACCCGTCATTCTTCTGTATACCCGTCATTCTTCTGTATACCCGTCATTCTTCTGTATGCCCGTCATTCTTCTGTATACCCGTCATTCTTCTGTATACCCGTCATTCTTCTGTATGCCCGTCATTCTTCTGTATGCCCGTCATTCTTCTGTATGCCCGTCATTCTTCTGTATACCCGTCATTCTTCTGTATACCCGTCATTCTTCTGTATACCCGTCATTCTTCTGTATGCCCGTCATTCTTCTGTATACCCGTCATTCTTCTGTATACCCGTCATTCTTCTGTATGCCCGTCATTCTTCTGTATGCCCGTCATTATTCTGTATGCCCGTCATTCTTCTGTATGCCCGTCATTCTTTCTTCTGTATGCCCGTCATTATTCTGTATGCCCGTCATTCTTCTGTATGCCCGTCATTATTCTGTATGCCCGTCATTCTTCTGTATGCCCGTCATTCTTTCTTCTGTACCCGTCATTATTCTGTATGCCCGTCATTCTTCTGTATGCCCGTCATTCTTTCTTCTGTATGCCCGTCATTATTCTGTATGCCCGTCATTCTTCTGTATGCCCGTCATTCTTCTGTATGCCCGTCATTCTTCTGTATGCCCGTCATTCTTTCTTCTGTATGCCCGTCATTATTCTGTATGCCCGTCATTCTTCTGTATGCCCGTCATTATTCTGTATGCCCGTCATTCTTCTGTATGCCCGTCATTCTTCTGTATACCCGTCATTCTTCTGTATGCCCATCATTCTTCTGTATGCCCGTCATTCTTCTGTATGCCCGTCATTCTTCTGTATGCCCATCATTCTTCTGTATGCCCGTCATTCTTCTGTATACATGTCATTCTTCTGTATACCCGTCATTCTTCTGTATACCCGTCATTCTTCTGTATGCCCGTCATTCTTCTGTATACCCGTCATTCTTCTGTATACCCGTCATTCTTCTGTATGCCCGTCATTCTTCTGTATGCCCGTCATTCTTCTGTATGCCCGTCATTCTTCTGTATACCCGTCATTCTTCTGTATACCCGTCATTCTTCTGTATACCCGTCATTCTTCTGTATGCCCGTCATTCTTCTGTATACCCGTCATTCTTCTGTATACCCGTCATTCTTCTGTATGCCCGTCATTCTTCTGTATGCCCGTCATTCTTCTGTATGCCCGTCATTCTTCTGTATACCCGTCATTCTTCTGTATACCCGTCATTCTTCTGTATACCCGTCATTCTTCTGTATGCCCGTCATTCTTCTGTATACCCGTCATTCTTCTGTATACCCGTCATTCTTCTGTATGCCCGTCATTCTTCTGTATGCCCGTCATTCTTCTGTATACCCGTCATTCTTCTGTATACCCGTCATTCTTCTGTATGCCCGTCATTCTTCTGTATACCCGTCATTCTTCTGTATACCCGTCATTCTTCTGTATGCCCGTCATTCTTCTGTATACCCGTCATTCTTCTGTATGCCCGTCATTCTTCTGTATACCCGTCATTCTTCTGTATACCCGTCATTCTTCTGTATGCCCGTCATTCTTCTGTATACCCGTCATTCTTCTGTATACCCGTCATTCTTCTGTATACCCGTCATTCTTCTGTATACCCGTCATTCTTCTGTATGCCCGTCATTCGTAAATTTTATCAAAAGATATTTAATTAGTTTATTTCGATGGATATAGTTAATTTCAGCAAGATAAAATACGAGTGTGCGTCGTTCGTGCGTTCGTGGGCAGCTGTCTTCGTGAGTGTCTCAGATTACAGCCAAGAAGAAAATCAAGACGAATCAGTATCACTCTCCAAGAAACTTCACGTAAGTAGCCGCCAGGTAAACTTCACGTAAGTAGCCGCCAGGTAAACTTCACGTAAGTAGCCACCAGGTAAACTTCACGTAAGTAGCCGCCAGGTAAACTTCACGTAAGTAGCCACCAGGTAAACTTCACGTAAGTAGCCGCCAGGTAAACTTCACGTAAGTAGCCGCCAGGTAAACTTCACGTAAGTAGCCGCCAGGTAAACTTCACGTAAGTAGCCGCCAGGTAAACTTCACGTAAGTAGCCACCAGGTAAACTTCACGTAAGTAGCCGCCAGGTAAACTTCACGTAAGTAGCCGCCAGGTAAACTTCACGTAAGTAGCCGCCAGGTAAACTTCACGTAAGTAGCCGCCAGGTAAATTTTCTACCAAACTCTACTCACCCTTTTTTTCCGACTAAATTGTCCATAAACATGGGCAAAACGACATTACCAGCGGGCAGATGCGTTTATAAACATTCCTAAACACTTGCCCGCCTGTGTTTAGATTTGACAGGTGATCAGCTGGTTGCTATAATAGGTGTGAAGTCTATCGGCTACACCAGGGTCAGTCTAGGCTGCAAGTCACCTGTACACCACAAGGTAAGGATATTTTTAACCTCTAAAATTGGAATTTAGGTAAATTCCAAGTGGGTTACCTACCGAAGTTTACATCCCTGCAAGTGTATATACTCTGCTTTCTCAGTGTATATACATCAGGAGATATATTTACTAGAATATATACAAAGTAATCAACCATGGGGGAAAATGGAACTGGGTGTATATAGCAACCAAGGTTACAGCCATATAATACCATCAGATACCAGGGTTACAGCCATATAACACCATCATATACCAGGGTTACAGCCATATAACACCATCAGATACCAGGGTTACAGCCATATAATACCATCAGATACCAGGGTTACAGCCATATAATACCATCAGATACCAGGGTTACAGCCATATAATACCATCAGATACCAGGGTTACAGCCATATAATACCATCAGATACCAGGGTTACAACCATATAATACCATCAGATACCAAGGTTACAGCCATATAATACCATCAGATACCAGGGTTACAGCCATATAATACCATCAGATACCAGGGTTACAGCCATATAATACCATCAGATACCAGGGGTACAGCCATATAATACCATCAGATACCAGGGTTACAACCATATAATACCATCAGATACCAGGGTTACAGCCATATAATACCATCAGATACCAGGGTTACAGCCATATAACACCATCAGATACCAAGGTTACAGCCATATAATACCATCAGATACCAGGGTTACAGCCATATAACACCATCAGATACCAAGGTTACAGCCATATAATACCATCAGATACCAGGGTTACAGCCATATAACACCATCAGATACCAAGGTTACAGCCATATAATACCATCAGATACCAGGGTTACAGCCATATAACACCATCAGATACCAAGGTTACAGCCATATAATACCATCAGATACCAGGGTTACAGCCATATAACACCATCAGATACCAGGGTTACAGCCATATAATACCATCAGATACCAGGGTTACAGCCATATAATACCATCAGATACCAGGGTTACAGCCATATAATACCATCAGATACCAGGGTTACAGCCATATAATACCATCAGATACCAGGGTTACAGCCATATAATACCATCAGATACCAGGGTTACAGCCATATAATACCATCAGATACCAATCAGAGTTGCAGCTTCGTCATACTAGCAGATACAGCGTCATCATACCAACAGATAACGTCACTATACCAACAGACAACAGCCACACTACTAATACAACGTCACCATATCAAGAGACAACGTCACCATACTAACAGACAACGTCACCATATCAAGAGACAACGTCACCATACTAACAGACAACGTCGCCATACCAATAAGGTCACTATACCATCAACATCACCATACCAACAACGTCACTATGCAGACAACAGCCACACTATAACTACCAGATGCAACCTCACCACAGCAGCGTCGCTACAAAATTCATTAGTGTCAACACTTGATTAGAGTACAAATTTACATTACCAGCGGCGTGTGAGTTCAGCCTCACCAACAATAACATTGTGTGACAAGTTAAACAAAGAGTTTCACTCGTATCAACACTCCAACACCAGCAGCAACACAGCATCAACACTAGCAGCAACACTAGCAGCAACACTAACACGTGTCTGCACCATCATCAACACCAGCACTACCACCACCATGTACATAAATGGGTCAGTGAACCGACAAGTTGATAAATTAGACATGTGTGCAACACAATCAAGATTAGCAGGTGTTGCACATGTGTCTAATTTATCAACCAACACAGCCAACACATGTCCTAAACCCTAGTGTCGAGACATACACTAATACCTACACTATCACCAGTACTAATACCTTCACTAATACCAGCACTAATACCTTCACTAACACCAGGACATCAACATCAATACCAATCTCACAATTCCTCGTAGCTACCAGCACATTTCCACTCCTACCTGGGATCTGGTATCCGTTCATTGCCACTGTCGTATCCTTCCTCAGAAGTGGTACAAACTCCTGCAGCGCTGGAGCAGGAACCACTAGCGGGTCTCCTTTCGTCAGGTGTGTGGGCGTGGCGCTACTACTCGTCGTCTGCTTCAACAGGTGTGGCTCGTCTGACTTCAACAAGTGTTACTCTGCTGCTACAGGTGTGCCGAGGCGACACTTCCTTCGTCTGGTAGTGCTGCTCACTCGCCGATTTTTTTCTTCTATTTTGATACGCCGATTACAAATGTGTCTTACTAAAAATTTTCCCTTCGCACAGATAACTCTGTATGGAACTGCACACGATTCTCAGACAGTCATTTTGGTTTTTTCGTCTATTCAAAAGGTCCACTTAATGTTTAAAATAGGGTCCAGACACGTCAAATTTCCTTTTGAAAGATGTTAATGTAACTGTTTGGGCTGTAAATCCTGGGTGTATTCCTTACTAAGCGTCACGATCGCTTGTAACTGTCAAGGGGACGTCAACAACACCTCCACTTTAAACCCGTTACCTCAGCCGAAACAAGAAGGGGACAAATGCTATTTCGTCTGCTAAGCAGAGGTGGTGGTGGTGGCGGCGGCGGCGTCCAACAGAGGTCCATCAGAAGCGGCGTAGTAGTGATGACAGGAGGTGGTGGAAGCTCACTTACCACCACACACCAGCACCGCAGAAATAACTCTGCAGACACTTGTGCGGATGAGGTTTTTGTGCTTAAAGAGGCAGAGCGGCGGCGAGAGGGAAGGCAGCAGCAGCGCGAGCAGCAGCAGCAGCAGGAACGGCAGCAGCAGCAACGGCGGGAGGCAGCCAGGCGGAGCTGTGGGTAGCGGGCTGCGAGGCAGGCTGCAGAACAACACTGACTGTGCCCTCTGTATGTTTGGTCCTCAGACACCCCACCTGTGCCTCTGCGCAGGCCAACTGCTCTCAATAAGTCTATTTCTGTTGCAATGTGCCATAGTTTCCCAAATCTGGGGAAATCTGTGGGGATTAGAGGCCCTACTTGTCCCTGGGAGGACCTTAGGAGGTCACTGCCCCACAACTCTTTCAGCTCTTCTCCCCTCAAAAGGAAAAGGGATTTGATGCTGTAGTGGATGGGGTTCTTGATTTAAGTAGCGGAGGTACGCTCTCCCTTAGATAAAAATCTGACTGCTTTCCATTCCCCAAGTGCTATCTGGCTCCCTGTGTGTTCAGGATTTCCACCGTGAACTTAGTTCAATTTCCGCCCCATTATCTACTTCCCCACACTAATCGATCCTCTACTTGGGGGAATCTATAGGCAAGTTGCTTTACGCTTTTACAAGCTATTGCAATCTGGGATCAAGAGAGAGGTAGGACAATTGCATTCATCGCACGGGGGGAGCAGGTTGCAAGGGGGCGGAGAGCCCAGCATGCCAGGGGACTGACTGGCGTCGCTAGCAATGCACGCCTGCAACATATTTAGCTTTGTGGTAGTCACTGGCAAAATGTCACCCCAATCCCTTGCAACACCGTCTCACCTGCTTGCAACACCGTCTCACCTGCTTGCAACACCGTCTCACTTGCCTGCAGCACAGTCAAAACTATTTCTCAGCTGCTGGCGATGACTCGTACCACCTCTCGTTCTAGTTCCCCTCGTACCTCTAGTTCCTCTGGTACGTTTAGCACCTCTCGTACGACCTCTTGTACGACTTATTTGCTAAGAGACCACTGAAACCAGAGATATTCCCCGGACCATAACAGTGACTAGAGATACCCCCGGGACCATATCAGAGACCAGAAATACCCACTAGACCAGCACAGAGACCAGGGAAGGAAATGAAAGATAAGAGGATCGGTTGTAAACATTACCCAGGCGATCAAGAAACGGAAGAAAATATGATTTTCTCCACTTTTTGAATAGACGCTCTTGAAGATTTCTTCTAATATATATATATATATATATATATATATATATATATATATATATATATATATATATATATATATATATTTCAACAAGTCGGCTGTCTCCCACCGAGGCAGGGTGACCCAAAAAAGAAAGGAAATCCCCCCCAAAAAAATACTTCGATCATCATTCAACACTTTCACCACACTCGCACATTATCACTGTTTTTGCAGAGGTGCTCAGAATACAACAGTTTAGAAGCATACACATATAAAGATACACAACATATCCCTCCAAACTGCCAATATCCCAAACCCCTCCTTTAAAGTGCAGGCATTGTACTTCCCATTTCCAGGACTCAAGTCCGACTATAAGAAAATAACCGGTTTCCCTGAATCCCTTCACTAAATATTACCCTGCTCACACTCCAACAGATCGTCAGGTCCCAAGTATCATTCGTCTTCATTCACTCCTATCTAACACGCTCACGCACGCTTGCTGGAAGTCCAAGCCCCTTGCCCACAAAACCTCCTTTACCCCCTCTCTCGAACCCTTTCGAGGACGACCCCTACATATATATATATTCTCTGTTTTGTTAACATATTCTTGAAGATTTTTTCTGATATATAAATCTATTTTTTTTAATCCTTTGCATCCTTCCATTCCTCCTCCTCCTTTCACTCTCGTTTTTCAATCTCTCCCTCCCTAGTTCCATCCCTCTATCTCCCTCTCCCCTTCCCTCTCAAATATTGGCCTCCCCTTCTCTTGTTACAAGGGAAATATTGAACTGGTATTATGGGAAGCATACAGTGTTGTATACTGCGAATATACCTCGTGTATACTGGGGATATATATATATATATATATATATATATATATATATATATATATATATATATATATATATATATAAATATATATATATATATATATATATATATATATATATATATATATATATATATATATATATATTGTGAATGTACTTCACGAATACTGATGCAAATATTTTATATATACTGGGAATATATTGTGTGTGTGTTGGGAGTACGGTTTATATATACTGGGTTAGAATATACTTTGTATACCTTGCCGTATACTAAGAAAAGTACTGCAGTATACACCTATGCTGAAAGTATTCTGAGAAGAATGTTTAGATGAATTCTCTAAAGTATGATTCGCTCTATGTATGAATTAAGGGTTGATATATGCTTAAAACGTGCTGTATACATTAAAGAAAATATTCACTGGTATACTGGAATACATATCTGTTGATTACATATACATAACGACAGGGGTCACTGTCCTAGCGGCTCGGGACCAGATCAGGCCTCGTGGCTGACGGCCTGTTCAATCAAACTGTTGGTGCTTGCCACACACACCATAACCCAGCTAGTCAGGAAGTAACTCGAGGTATCTATTATTTTCCCTCTTGAAGACAGCTAGGGGGTGTGCTGGTAATTTCCCTTATATATAAAGGGTGGAAATAAATGGTATAAAATACCGACATAATGGAAATATAAACACATACACAGTATCATGTAATCCTTTATTGAAAACGTTTCGCCCACACAATGGGCTTTACCAAGTCAGAAACAGATCTACCTGGGTGAAAGGTACGTGAGTACCTCTGACTATCCTAATATAACTCACGTACCTTTCACCCAGGTAGATCTGTTTATGACTTGATAAAGCCCACTGTGTGGGCCAAACGTTGTCAATAAAGGATCACATTATACTGCTTATGTGTTTATATTTCCATATATGAGGGGTATTGAAAGCACTCTTGGCTTCTTGGCATACCGTATTCACTGCTTCCTTGCATTTCATGAAGAATATTTTGCACTGTCTGCCAAGCCTCTTGCTTTCGTAGGTAGTAACTTTGGCGTCCAGGTTTAGGATGAGTCCTTCAAGAATTCTCCCGGTGTAAATCACAGTGGTGAAAATTAGACGCCTATGCCACATGTGGGTCATGAAAATTACACGCCTGTGCCATATGTGGGTATCTTTATTATAGACGTTTCGCCAACCAGTGGCTTTATCAATACAAATTCAACGACATAACTGGAAGACAGTAGAACTAGATACAAAATTATATTGCATCTTTCTCGTCTACGTTCCAGGGATTACAGTTCTAGGGACCTCAAACATTCCCAGTAATTTAGATGTTCGACTGAATTTATACTGTCAGTGAAGGTTCTCTGTACATTCTCCAAATCTTCGGTTTCGTCTGCATCAAGGAATGTCTTTCAGTGTGCAACAACGTTAAAGTCTAGAGAGAATGAATGATTTAACGAGTTCCACCGCCTTGTCATCTCTCGTTCTGAAGGATCTAGCTATCCAGCCAATCATTTTTTTTCCTTTGCAGTTGTAATAGCAACACTGTCGTGATCCTTTGAATGAAATTTATTTTGACATTATCAGTCCAGGGTCCATCACATTAATCTTCTACTCTGTTGTGTGGTTCGAGTTACATTATTCTCTGTTGGAGATGCAAACTTTAAAAGGGTTTATTAAAGATTATATGAGTAAATATTTTGGAAATGGATTTTGGAAGATAAGTCTGGGTCGTCTCCTACAAATGCAGTTTTCTGCCATTCAGTTCCTAATTTATAACTTCTTTTAACAATTAGTGCATCAGGAAGCGCGTATGTCTGGCGTTCAGCAGACAGAGGATCAAGCCTCCACCACACCTTGCGCTGAATGACCCACATGAGCTTAGCGCTTAACAGGAATTATTATATTATCACCTTTAGATGTTTCTTTTATACAATTAATACAGTGTGGAATTTTGAACGTTTAATTTGGCATACTAAGAATAGTTACATTTTATTCGGCGTAGTCACACACACATATAGGCATACCTTCCCACCAGAGAACCAGGTGCTAAGCGATCACGCGCCCCGTCGTTATACGAGTACGTTGGTTCAACCAGCCAGTCACAAGGAAGTCCGCCAAAGCTGTGAAACGACGTGGAACGCTCGTGAAGCAGTTATGGCAGACTTGCCTTCCCTGCTGGTCGTTACGGTTCTTACCGTGTCTTTTGCTTGAATTTTTGCCTCATTGTACACAGCTGTAAATACTGTACCTAGGCTATATACACTGTAAATACCAGTTTATTTTGGTGAAGGAAATACAGTAATTTGCTCTCTCTTCTACTCTTTCGCTCGTGCCTAATTAGTTTTCGACAAGGTGTACAGGTCAAGAGTCTACACCTGTGTTTATAATAGTTAACAATGCACAAAAACCCTTCCCACTACCCCTACTACTTTTTCTTCCCCTCTTGGTCCCATCCCTGGCCAGCTCGCCTATATATATACTGAATCCCTCTCTATTTTGTGTTAGTCGGACTGAAACGTCGTTGTAAGCTTCTCTCTCATATGTGCGGGTTATCTTTGTACTGTTTCAGTCACGGAATTGTGACTTTTCGTTCTTTTTGAACAGTTAACATTCATGCGTTGAGTTCTTAATGTCAATGGTCCAAGTCGGACCGAAACGTCGTCGTAAGCTTCTCTCTTTTATGTGCGGGTTATTTGTGTAAAATTGGCATCCCTGTTGACAGGCTGGAGATGAGGTATTAATTCAGTAATGTTCTATATTTTTACTGTTGTTTCTTGTGTAGAATGTAATGCGACTCTCAGTTTCTAACAGTGACATGTTTGACAACAACAGACCAAACTTTAGAAGCAGCGGTAAGCATGTCTTACTCCTGCAACTTCAACAAATACGTCAACTAATACGTTCTTGAGTTTTAATTACTTCTAGATAATCACCAAAGACACACGTTCCTTTTCCGATAGTTCTTGATGACAATTTTGCATAGACTTTTCCAGAGTCCTGATACATTTAAATTGTATCCCGAAGATACATTAATATATGAAGATAAGTGTCATGCACTGATATCAGGTTTAGAAAGATACATTAACAAACACTAGGAAGTGATCAAGGTCCTGGGACCTTGATCACTTCTAACATACAGAGGTTAATTAAAAAGACTATATATAGGCGAAGAGTGAAGTGTGAGTGACCCATGGTGA